AATACCTATATACGTAATATCAAAGCAATTGGGCTTTTGGTTTTTAACAAGAAGTAGAAAATATCACTTTTTACCAAAAATGACAAAAATATTCACCAAAATTAGAGAATTGAAGATATCATCACGAAATGAAAAAATTTGAGAAAGGTCCACATGTAGCATCTATATATGCAATATCAAAGCAATTGGACTTTTGGTTTTTAACAAGAAGTCGAAAATATCACTTTTTACTAAAAATTACAAAAATATTCACCAAAATTAGAGAATTGAAGATATCATCATGAAATGAACAAATCTAAGAGAGGTCTACCCCAGGTACATACACACCAAGTATAAAAGCATTCAGGCTTGTAGTTTTCAAGAAAAAGTCGAAAAAGTAAAACATTGACAGACGACGAGGGACGCCGAAGGACAATCACTCGACAAAGTCGACAGCAGAGTATTCCCTGCGACTATTGACAATCTAAAGACAGAAACATGGGGTACCTGAATTAATGTTTGAATTGTTACCAAATTTTTATTCAAAATGGCCACCAAAGTAGGGCATTTATTGTTTCCATGGAAACAAGCTCTGGTTCTCCCTAATTTCATGTCCATTCAGTTATATAACATTTCGCAAAATATCAAATAAAAGCAGTCAGCCCTCTTCATAATTGTGCTGTTTGTCGCAAATACCACCAAACCACCTTTGATAATTTAGCAGGAACTAAATCTACCAAATCATGGATACCCTAGAGTGACCCAAATCCCATTCACTGTGAATCACGCGACCAATACATGTGGTACGTGTGCTTCTAGAATATGCACTATTGAACTGTATGTTGAGCGATCACTTGAATGGTTTTACAGATAATCCAGGGGTTGAAAAATACAAGTCATATGTCAGTGGGAATTCACATTCACTCAAGTTAATACTGTTCCAATCAAATGTAAGAAGTAACAAAGTTTGAGACAGAACTTCAGAATTAGGTTTATCGTAAAGACGAGTTGTATACTGTTCATTTCATGAATGCATGAATTTGTTTTATCTTCATGCTTCATTCAAATCTAAAGAAGATGCTTTCATTGGACACAGAAATCATTTTGTAATGGCCATTACCCATGAGTCTTTGCAGGCTACCTTCAATCACTGTCCAATTCAGTGGCATAAACGCTAAAAATAAATGCCATGAAATCAGTTTAAAACAATTAACATTACAACGATTCAACCGCTGAAATAATTTTAAAAGAGTGAGAGTACAAATAGTACCACTATCGTTTGGCACAGGAAACGTATCCATGTTAGGAGATGCAAGGATACATCAAAGAAGCGGTGACGTTAAGGACTCAACTTACTGACCACAGTAGAATTCTATTTGATCGGTATTGATACATTAACGCTTGTGATTAGCAAATTTGTTTTCAACCATCATTTGAAATTTATAAAACATTTATAAATATTTAATATAAATTTATTTAATACAATTTAATCATGCCTTCATGAAATGCACCGTATGTTCTGAAAACTAAAAATAAAACTTGTTTCCAGCAAAGTATGCCTGCTGTGTTTGAAAACAATGAAATCTTCATCTGTTTACATGGACAGTCTATTTCTGCAAATACCAGTCAGAAATATGATCTGTGTGTTTAATAAGACTGACAGATTTCAATTTCTATTACAGTAATTCATTGATACACCTCTAGAGTCAAGATACTTAAAAAAAAGGAGATATCAGATGGTGTATATGAACTAGTGACCATATTTGTACTATTAGTGGCATGCACTTAATATGTAAATGATGGTGCGGCTATGGTTAAAATAAGTCATATTTTAATAATTCAGTATACAATACATTTTACTGTTGATTTACATGCGGTTCTATTAGAGACTCACTTCTAATAGAGCGAATACGATCAAATCAATCCTGTTTTTGGTGCCGAGGTATTTAGGCATACGCCCTATTTCAGAACAGAATGTTGAATTTGATTCAATATACTTGTCATTAATTCATCATCAAATTGAATCAAAATGAGGTCTATGAAAAACAAATACACATGTACAGGAATGTGACAGGTAAAATACCTATGACATAATGCCTACGAAGAAGTATACAGGCAAGGTTTGATGAAATACCTATCTCGAGGCAACCAGAAATTTGAAAAAACAAACAAAACGCAACTACACCTCTGTAAGGCATAAAATGAGTTATGTATATTTAATGATGTGCCTATTGTTATGTAAATTGCATGTATAGATGGATCACGCCCATATCAGGACAAAAGAATAGTAGGAATTAGGAGTTGACTTTGCAACGGACTCACATGTACCACGGCACATACACACTGAGTTTAAAGGATTCAGGACTAGGTTCTAAACTACTAGTCCTTTGACTTCCTAACAATTGGCAGTTTTCACAGCTTTAAGCCTCCCCCAGACCAATTTTCCCCATTGGTTGTTTCTCAACAGAGACAATCAATGTAACACAAAAGCAATGATTTCTAAAGGATGTATACCATAGAGGTTTATGTGATTGTAGAGGTCGTGTATTGAAATAACAATAACGCTCGACAGGGACACTAGTGTATACAATGTATTGTCTCGTTGCGCTCAACGCATTCAACAGAATAAAAGTCATTGTACGTTTTTTTTTCTCCATCCACTCCCACCAAGCTAACATTATATATTACGTACCACTGTATGCATCTTAGTCTAGCCCGCTCGCTTTCGCCATCAGAAATATCTTGGAAGTGAGAGAAAATCGGAAAAGGGGAGAATTTGAAAAGTTCAATAATACAAAATCATATGGAACACAAAACATGGAAGAATATAATCCTTTTTTTTTTTGATGGGCGGGGATGCCTTCAACACCATGAAATGGACATTTTTTTTTTAAATGTTATGACAAAAGTAATGATCAATAACTACATGCATTGACGATCACGAAACAATAAACTTTAATTTAGTACACTCCTAGCACATTTTATTATTAGCATATGTAAATTTAAACTCAATCACATTTATTTGAGGAATTCACCCTGCTGCAAGTACCCCACCCAGTCACACAAACTCCTGATTCATCTTCCTCAGAACAGCCTCTGAAAAATTATTAATTAAGTCTGTTTTACAAAACAGCTACATGTATGCTGACAAGACAAGTTTTACAATTACACAGAATATTGTAAACTAACTTAACACCTTGCCGGACTGCCTGTCATTTAGGTAATTATTAACAGCTGACTAGCTCCCTCACTACCATGTAATGACTTGATTGACCAAACCGAAAAGTCAAAGACAATTATTTACCGACTTATTTCCACTTCACATTCTAATTGACGTCAATAGGTTTCTTCATGCGAATCCCTCATTTACGAAATTTTGTCAACCATTTTAGCGTGGATTCAACATTACATGAGAAGAATAGAATGAATGCTTCTCCATCTTATGATGTGTCTTTTCCATTTAATCACAATAAAACAACATTTCAAACGTTACTACGTTCGAAAATAGATGACAGACAGAGATACGATTCAAGTGTCATGTAGATACAAAAGTGTGTTGTTTTTTTCTCTGTGTCATAACTCAGTAATCTCTCACTGCATCCTAAATGTTACATATAAGCTGTTGAGATTTGTGAAACCAATCAGATTGGACATTACTGAAACAAACTATATCATTCTGCACACACAGTTTATAACACAGATTTTAATTGGACGTTAGTCAACTACATAATTTCTACATGTATGGGAAACATAGTCGCGATACAAGGAAAAAAACAAATAAACTTACATCAGCTTTTAATCAAACGTTGATGGGACTGTAACATTTATTGAAGTTGTAACAAATCACAACACAAAATTGACATTAATATCACGTTTTTTATCATTGTGAGTTGTTGTAACCAATAGTTACATAAAGAATCTGGAAGTGTTAAAGCTGAAACTATTTCACTGATATACTGTAAACAAAATAATTGAGAGTGGTTTATAGTACAATGAAAGAACTGTACTTATACACATGTACATGGGTATCTGGGACTTGGTTGACCCAGAGGTCAATGAATCTAGTTGCTAGAGCTGCGAATAGTAATGATCACTTAAGATCTATTTTGTGGCGTATGGGACGAGAAGTAAAAGTAGACTTACCATTCAAATAGTACCGGTAATGATCACTTATAATCTATTTTGTGGCGTATGGGACGGGAAGTAAAAGTAGACTTACCATTCGAATATAACCCGAAATGATCATTTAGAATCTATTTTGTGGCATGTGAAACGGGAAGTAAATGTAGACTTACCATTCGCTATCAGTTGCTTAATCAGATCCTTGGCGCCATCTTTGACTGCTTGAAGCATTAGAGGTAGATGTTGGCTATCTTTTGAATCTAACGGTAACGTTATCTCCATAGACGACATAACTGTTTTAGGATTCTCCAAGTGTATCCATTTCCATGTAAATCTGTCATGTGTTTCCTGGTACGGAGTCTGAGGACGGATTCCATACGGCATCGGCATAGACGCTCGTACATTTTTAACATTGTTCATCCTGTTCTGCATTCGTAGCCGTATTGTCCTGTAATATTTTTGCATCTGAAGCAGGACCAAGTTGAGACTGTCCCGCAGCTCCGCACATTCTTGATCCACACTGAGTTTCGTAAGAAAATCCTGAATGAAGGCCACTGCCTTCTGGAAATCTAGAAAAATAAAACAGAATTATTCCTGTAAATCCATGCTGTATATGTAAACAAAACGAAAGCCAATTAAATATTGGTGAATTCTATATAGATTTTTAAACCAAAAAAAATTTTAAAGATTCACAGTAATATTTTATGTCTTTTTGCAATCCTGAAATGTTGATGCCAACAGCAACGTCAACGACCACAAGAACAGACGCCTTTCTCTTCTATATCTACCTACCTTGATGTACATTACAGACAAAATAAACATCCGCATTTTTTTTCACGGGCATTATCTACTAGTGTTATCATCCATAAAGTTGTTTTTTTGTCTACTTCTTTTTTTCAAATTTTAGTTGTTTCAAACAAAGAAAATATCAAAATCAGCACTAAAAAGAATTAACCGTTAGACAGTAAAATAAATACCAAGAATTGCAAAAGTAAATCATTGTAATTTAATTGCAGAGGTATACCGTTATAAATAAAATGTCATGGTATATAAATTTTTATGGTAAAAACCAACATTTATTAAAACAGTACATAGAAAGATCTATCCGATAGTAAACCCTTAACATCTTTCTTTTCTCTTCAAAAATGGAACTGACATGGCCTTGTGTACATAAAAGATAATAGAGTTAGATAAACAATTTTATTTTTACTTCAGTTGCCAAATGGCGAGCATTTGTCATTCACAAAAGTTTATTAGTTTACAGTACTGATATGTTGAATAAAGCAGTCAATTACGAAGTTTGCACCACAGTACATGTAATTATAAGATAATGTTGTTTTGTATACCACTTATTCAAACACTATCGAGCAAAATTTGAGATGTGATAAAATATTTTGTGAAACTTTTTACCTTTTTCTACAAGAATTCACTATCGTTTTTATACAGCTGTGTACCAACCTCAAAAGCCTCTACTAAGTGTTACCTAGAACCCATACTCTTTTCTAGACAATCAAAATATGAAAATGGATACCAAGCACTGCATGTAATACATTTTGTAGATGTATATCTGAGCAGTGGGTTTGTTTACGGTATACATATCAATGTGTCCGTTTTAATGTGTTTCTGTAAAATACTATATTTTTGCTGGAATTAAATTTTGCAGAAAGGACATTTATGTTGTTTTGTATGAAGTTTATGTTCACTGACATTTGATGAGTTGAATGTAAAATATAGGAAAAGGGGTATTTTCACTTGATTTTATTTTTAAGTTTTTATTTTTATTTCAAACAGGGTGAAAGAAGCCTGAAGTGGACCAGACAAAAAGGAAACTTTAATATGATAAATAGCTTATTAATATGCAAATATATATCAAAATATAATTATGTATAAAATTTCATTTAGATTTGCCCTATAAAACTAACAATTGAATACGCAGATATTTTGATAATCTGAAGAACCCCAGCACCACTAAATCAGAATTCCACAAGTAGCAACACACACTGGACTCTTGTGACATCACAAAAATGTTAACTCACAAAAATTAAATAGTGTAATAGTTACCATGGTAATGACATCTCTCATATCTAAAAACATGTGTCATAACATAGGGTGAAAAAAATCATAAAGCATGATTGACTTGGTATCTTTTTTTTTTGTTTTTATAATCTGGATTTTAAAAATACCAATGACAGATTGAAAATGATGCAATTTCATTTCATATATATTCATTTAAAGCTACCTTAACTATGGCCACTGTTTTAATTTAAAAATCAAATTCTGTCGTCAATTTAATAATCTAATTACCAGAATTACATGTTCAGTAATTTAAAGCTTAATTTAAAAAAAAAACAAGATTGCCCTTAAACACCAATTTTGGCACGGTTCAATGGAATTGCTTGATAGAATGAAACATATGATTTTTAGACAATATATTTTTAAGCTAAATAATTAAGGTCAGAGCAAAACTATACAACAATTGAAAAAGCAATCCATGAATAAAAGGTAATGTGATTATCATGAATGGAGCAAAGGTTTGAAGGAATCAACCATTATTTTCTGAGGGGTACAGGTACAAAGAAGGAACAGACAAAAACAAATTTGAAAATCAATTAGATTAATTTATTCCATGGTCAAAAAAAAAATTAAAAAAGAGACAATGAAAAAACAATGACTGTACATGATTAACTGGGACATGATAGAACACGATTTCTTCCCCTCTTAAGTGAATGGTTCATTCCAGCTCAGGGTATTTAGAATAATATTTTTGTCCTGAGCAACAGCAGTAGTACTGTAAGTAATGGAACAAGGAAAACGAAAGCTACCTATCAAGTACTTTTTGTATGAATATCCACAATATAATATACATTAAGCCAAAAAAGTGAAGTTTTCAATCAGTTATTTACTGGAATCTGTAAGAATAAAATGTGTTTGATAGGAAAATGTCCCCTACAGATATACATACAAGAATAGTACAGAGTAAATTGCATCTTCACTCGCACATTCTTAGTATATACTAAATGTACTTTGGAATAATTACCCCCCCTCTCTCTCTCTCTCTCTCCCTCTCCCTCTCCCAGGTGCTCTTTCATTTAAATGAAGCAAGTGAAAGTTGGTCATGACCTTGCGTTCTTTATTATAGAATAGCAAAGACAGATACAAGAGTGACTCACATCAGCAACAGAACAGACATGACAGATATCATCCTAATACATGTATTACAAACATGTTGGTCTCAGAGCAAAGCTATGACGTACACATAACCATGCCTGGAGGGTATAATTATCGTACAGTAAGCTCTCGGGTAAGACAAAAATCAGCTGCATTTTTTTTTGATTATCTGTGTAACAACAATAAACAGACCCAGAGATGTCTATTACAGGTAGTGTGTGCTACATACATGCATTTGAGATATAGCTCCAATAAAGTGACTGAAAATTAAGAATTCTGTAATTGATTAGAGCAATATGGTACATGTAGATGTATAGTGTAATACTAAATACAGAAACTGTAACGAGTCCCAAAATGCAAATTCATGTATTCATTATTAATATTCTAAATATTTAATCATACAGTATGGTCAGCAATCTGATATACATAGTATAGTGAAGAGAATTTCAACCCCCCAAAAAAACATTTAACTGTATCAGAGTACTGAGTGCAACAAAATTTTGATATTGGAAATCATGTTTTTTCTGCTGCAATTTAGCCGAGAATCTTGTTCCGCACTAATATCAATAATTTTTAGTTTATACTTCTTTCTGAAGCAACAACACATCAGAAATTGCTCACAATGTACGAGAGAAATCAATTCTGTATAATCCCACGAGATGGCTGTTATATAACATGAAAAAAAGTTAGCGCAACTAAACAACTGGTTTTAAATAATTTCTAGTTGGTGAAAGCTGCCTGTGATAAAAGATAAGATACTGCATGTGTATTAGACCCTATCATTATTTCACAATTAGAGTTGATACACTACATATGTTACTTTAAAGAAGATTAAATGTACATGGTCAAATCATTCCAAATCTATCATATAAGATTAATCCTTTTTATCCAGGGATTACCCAACCTCCTGTTGTTTAGGCAAGTTTTCTGTATATTGTAGATTAGCCATAATAGTGAGTGCATAGTAAGCTGTCAGCTGTTTTAATAATTTATTGCCACTTGAGCAGTAAATCACAGCCACTGACAGATAGCAGCAAATAGCATTGATGTTGACAAGGGCAGATAAATAGGTGCAGGCATCCCACTACTTAGATTTAGGGATGGGTGACGACAATTCTCAATACAGAGATACATACTTGTCACCTATTGGGCAAGATCTATAGTTGCCTACATCGATACACTAACGATATGTCAGTGAATAGTATTTAGAACATTCAGGGTTATTTACAGAGGGGAATGCTTTAATACACAATGAGTTGTCAGGATCTTTGCTTCATGGACATAGTCTTAAGATAGAGATGCAGTTTACCTGACAGGTATTTTATTTAGTTAATTAGGAAACCAAGATGACCTCCCTTGTCCACAAAACTATATATTTTCAGAAAGCTTATTGTATGAATTTTAAAAATTTTTTAGTATTTTTTTTTTATGGACACTGTAGTTTGCAATATGCACAAAAATGTGCTTTTTTGGTCAAAAGTGATTTTAAAAAAATTAGCTCCTAAACCATGCTTCTGTTTCCTGTCAAAATTGGTTTATGGGTCATCTGTTTACTATGAAGAAATCTCAGTCTTGAAAACTGTCAACCAGTTGTCAATTTTGCAGGGCAGCAGCCCAAATTTCACTACTTCAAGTTTATGCATAAATTAACACCCAGGCTAGTTGTCGATTGTTGTAACACTGTTCAACCAAAAACAATGTCCCGACAACGTTTTGAAGATAAACACATTGTCAATCATTTGTGAAAATTTCAAAACAAAAGGTCAAAGCGTCTAGGAGCTATTTTTTTTTTAAAGTTCTGGGATGTGCACTAAAAAGAAGCTGAGATAATTGCTAATTTGCAAAACAATTCACTCAGTAAGAAGTTTGCTAATGCTCATAATTAAAATGGCTGTATCAGTTCCAAATTTAAATGTATTATCGTTTTGTTAAAAGTTAAATATAGTGCATAATATGGAGATCCCGTCATTTCTTTTTTTCACCATGTTTCTTTTTTATTGTTTATGTAAAGCCTTGCTAAATCTTGCTAAGCATTCAAATAGGAGAATGTTTGCACCTGTTATCTATATTTTAAAATCGCTTTTTGAGTATGTTCCACGATTTACAATTCTACAAAATTTTAACAGTCTATAGCCAAGAAAAAAATTCACTCCCAAGTGCCCACAAACATGCATCTCTACCTTAACATGACAACAAATAGTATTATTCAACATCACTGAAGGGACTTAA